TACCTTGCGATCGTTATGTGCGCATGCATGCCTATATCTAGCTAATATTAGGTATAGTATTAAACTAGCTATATACTAAGTGACAGGCGTGTGCACAGTAGCCGCCATATGTGCACATCACGCGGCCGCGGCGGGGCCCGCGTCAGGGCTGAGTCTGTCACAGCCCGGCACAATCCGCGACTCGATCCGTGGTCGCTAGGATAATCTTCTAAAATCTCCGACATCCTTTTGTATGCCGGGAATTCCCATTGCACGATCGACGATGGCGAATCTTTGGCAGGCAAATTGCGGTGGATCGAATATTTTAGCTGGCGCAGGCTTCATTGCGCTAAGGACGTCGATGACTACGACGCGTGAGCAGAGATTACGATTGATGTCGCTGTTGTTCCCGAGATGCATGATCGAGGTGGAACTAGCTGGCTAGCTCTTGCGGCTTCAGAGCATGCAAGGCACAGTCCCTGCCGGCACCTTGAAAACCACATGCATGCCTTTTGTTATCTAACATCGTATTAAACAAATGCAACGCTGTAGCAGCATGCGCCATGCCATGGCTTCCTAAGCCTGTTGGTTCCTTACAAAGAGATACAAAAAGTTGATGCATGATCAATCGACCGTCCCATTCAAATTGACCCCTAACTTACCATATACTCGTCATGCCAGAAAGCATCTGCAACAAGACCTTACCAATATGATTCGAACATGGCAGCGCCGGATTGCTAGCTAACTCTTGTCGATCCATCGAGGACACCATGCACAATAGAAACCGTTCTGTCAGAAGAAGTTCAAGGACTGGCTGCTGAAGGGCTGTGCAGACCTGCCGGTATCCGAAATCCCTGCTGCACTCTGTTTAGGTGAGTCGAAGGCTGAACTCTTTTGTCGATTGAGCTCGTCGAGTGGCCTGCGAGCGGGCTCATCACCAAGCGCGTCAAAGCCGAAGCTGTCGAACCTGAGCACCTTCTGGCTCTCAGCAGGACTTGCACTCTCAACATGGTCATACCCGTCGCTTGCAGCCGTCCCAGGCTGCTGGAAGAAATCGCTGTTCTGGCCGGCCCCTTCCTGCATACTGCCATCCTCCTCCTCCACTGGCACCGCCAGCGGCACTCCCGTCTCCATGCTCTCATTCTGCAATGCCTCCTCGGGCGGGGCGGTCTCCTGAGCGCCTGAGGCCAGCGCGCTGAATTCGTCTCCTAGCACACTAGTGGCTTTTTCTGCGGGATAGGCCAGGTACACGCCCGTGCTCCAGGTGTGCTCCCCTGCCACAAACGGCGGGGCGCCCCCCTCGGTGGCGGGCCGCAGGAACATGGCCGACAGCAGGTACCCCGGGCTGACGGCCACCACGCGTGCATTCAGGGCCGCCAGGCTCTGCTGCGGCGCGACCCCGGTGAGGGCCACACGCAGGCGGCCAGGCGGAGCCCCGGGGACAACCGCGGGCACAGTCCAACGAAGCTGGCGCTCCTTCTTGACCCACACGCCGCGTGGTGAGAAGTGCAGGGCTTCCGGGGAGAAGGGCAGGGAAAGGAGGAAGAGCACGTTGGGCAGCGGGGCCAGCAGTGCGGGATTGGCCACATACTGCAGCAGCACGGCCACGCGCCCCCCAGGCCTGCGCCGCACAGCTAGATGAAGCCGCATGGGGAGAGGGGTAGCGGCGGCAGTCAGCCGGTACTTGGCGAGGACGAGGGGGCTGGGAGGGCCCGCCCCGAGTGCAGGCGGGATGGTAGCATGGAACACGCCGGGGCCCACTCGCGTAGTGGTTTGCTTGTTGACTGCAACAGTCTTCACCCCTGCCGCCCCATCCAGGCGGAAAGCCAGCTGCAGCGCCTCCTCGGACGTCGCTGCCATCTTGCGGGGGGGCGCTTGCAGCCGCAGCTCCCCCTGGAGGCCGGCCCTGCGCAGTGCGGCCCCATGGAACTCGGCGTGCACCGCCTCCGCCACCCACAGCACCGCCGCCCGTGTTGCCGCCCCGCTGCCACTGCTGCCAGCAGCCCCAGCAGGTAGGCCCGCTACTGTTCCGTTCTCTGTGGCGGGGCCCTTTTGCCTAACTTCTGCCGCAGTCCACTCCCCTCCAATGGCCGGTCCCGTGCTGGCTGCGAGGGCCAGCGCCAGCGCGTCTCCACTAGCCGCCGCATCGGGCCCAGGAGCGGCGCTTTCTTCGAGAGCCAGCCCGTCAAAACCCCCTCCAAACGCTTCCTCCCCAAAGCCAGCCACCAGTTGGTCACCCCCAAATGCATCTTCGCCTGCTTCAAAGTCCTGAAAGCCGGCCGCATCCTCCGCCCCAAAGCCTGGCCCGCCTTCCCCCCCGTCCAAAGTTGCTAGCCCCGCCGAGAGTTCTGCCAGCGCGGCCACACTGTCTGTTGAGCCTACGGCGCGAGTGAAGCCCGCGCTGAAGTCGTCGCCCTTGGCAGCCGGCAGTGCAAAGGGGTCGCGCGGCTCCTCAGGCGCCGCCTCCGGGCCCGGCGCTGCAGCAGGGGCGTCGTCCTTGCGAGGCGCCACACCCTGCGCTTCCATGACCGCATCGCCCGCTTGCAGCAGCGCTTCAGGCAGCTCGAATGAGGTGTGGGCCAGCACCTGCAAGGCACGTCAGAAAGACCAAGGAAGCTTCATGGCAAGTGGAAAGACATAAGAGGGAACACTTAGTATCAACCTCCAAGCTCGCTCTGCATCTGAAGCCAACAGTGCCAACTAACACCCTAGGACAGCACAGTAGTCTTGCATTGCTGATGCCACATGGCCACTGCACTGCTGCCCCTGTTGCGCTGGCCTCGTTTGCGAGGGCGTAGGCGCCCACCAGCTGGAACCGCGCGCCTCACCTGAGCTGTGCTGACCCGCTCCAGCGGGCCTTGCCGAGCGGTGCCCCAAGTGTCGGCACCACGTGCCTGCACCTCTGCCAAGCTGGCAGCCCCCGCATCTGTGGTGGCATTGCCCCCGGCCGCCACAATTGCTGCTGCAGCGGTGCCGGCATTGCCCAGCGCCGACATGAGGTTGCTCAGCTGGGTGGAGCTGGCGCCATGCAGGATGGCATCCAGAGCAAGGTACACCTGACAGACCGCAAAAAACAATTATTGAATGAAGGAACCAACATACCACCGCCCGGGCAGACCGTGTGACTCTCAAATACTACAAGTAGGATGATGCCCCTTCTGGCAACATGCAGGATGGCATCCCAGAACAGTAGAAGCGGGGCAACGCACAAGTAGCGTTCGACACCGAACTCCATATGGGATGTAGGCTTGACACACGTCTTCACCTCAGCATACTTGCGGTTGACTTTCTCGGCCGTCACATCCACTCCGCGGCAGGCAGCCACCAGGATGCTGCAGACAGAGATGGGGCAGGTCAGAACTGACAAAGAAGCTTGATAACAGCAAGCACACGTCGGTCATTGCAAGTCAACAGCTGAAGTTCTTACACCCCACCTGTGGGGACGCTGCTCCTTCGAGTCACTGTGGCGCAACTCCGAAGAGGTCATGATACAAGAAAATATGCGATAGCGCAGGAGAGTCTCGTCTCAGGAAAACCACCCCGAGCTGGCCCCCAAGCCTGGCTTGGGATGCTCCCCAGCTGCGTCTGGGGCACATACCTGACTGCCTGGTTGACGGTGCTGGTGCAGTCAAAAACGTTGTTAGAGCAGTCATCCTGGTCCGCACTGCTGATGCCCAGCACGTACACCGAGTTGACAAGACGGTACACCACGCGGAACCTGCAACACCAGCAAACAGTAGGCACCCCATCAAGTCAATGCAGGAAACACACATGCAGACGAACAAGAGACAACCTCCACATGGGAAACAAGCAGAAATTGATTATACATGGTACTGTCATCAACTGGGATATGAGAAGGGTGAATGCTGCAACGTCGATATTGAAGGCCGCAGAGAGAGAGAGAGTTGGCAACTGACTTGCCCAACACTTACTTGCTGTCTTCTCCCACGACCACTTGCCCACTCGATGCTGTGAGCGCATCATCCCCAACGCTGAGTGGAACAAAGTAGCCTCCAGTTAGAGGCAGGTGCTCATCGGCCAAGTGCAGTGTCAGACACAGGCAAGATCCCCATGGAAGTAGAAAGGTTTCAGCATAATCATGTCAGCAAGTTTCTCTCCAATTGCTACCTCTCTCTTGATGCTTCAAAATAGTCTCCTGAGCAGAGCGTTTCTCACATGTCCGTGTTTGCTGAACTTGCTGCAGTGTCAAAGGCTTCTCTAGTTGCTTGAAAGCTGTAGGACGCCGCAGCGGCACGTGCTGGAGGAAACCACTCTCGCCTGCAACTCCAGAGGGGAACAGGCATTGATGACCTGGGATAGGGTCAGAGAGGGCGGACGTTGTGCCAATTGCCGTTGATCACCAGAGCATGCAAACAAAAGCAATCTCAGAGGAGGAAACAAGCACCTGACGAAAGATCGATAGGGCATTGGTCCGATATCCCAAAGGAAAATGTGTTTGTCACTTACGTTTGCAAGAGGATGTCAGGACCCCGAAGCGGCTGTATTGACAATGCTAAGCAAGCCATGATCAGCAGGCTTCTTTGGCGCGATCACTATCTTGGGGAGGAATGCAGCTAGTGAATCTAGAATTAGAGCTGCCCAATGGTCAACGAATCTGAACTAGAACTCAGTGCGTTCCTGCCTCCAAAGGAACAACCTATTGATGCAGAATTGTTAGCTTAGAATCAATTGTTAGCTTATGGTCCGCTTCCTGCCCCAATTAGCCCTAGGGCGCCTAATGGTGTGTAGCAGCTTCCTGCCTCGAGCGCAGGACGTCCTGGCCCAAGCCTGGCCCACCGGGGCGCCTACCGTACTGTAGATACGGTACGCCAACGGTACACTGCAAGAATCCGCTCCATGGAAGTCGAGACAACACCTTGGTCACAAACCGAAATGTGAATGACTCCTCGCAATGTATTTGGTACACCACAACAAACATTTGTCACGCAAATTCACACCGCTATAGCGCAAAAACTCATTTTCGCCGTTCTTGGTACCGTAGCAGGTAGCTTGTTGGAACCCTCAAGGCTAAAGAAGTTTTGCGGCCTGAGGCCAGAGGGCGCAGACGCCCAGCCAGAAAACCTACGGCTTGTAACGTCCAGTAGCGAGCAGACCGTATGGGCCTCCACCGCGGGCGCGTCCACGAAATTTTGCACACGTCTTATATGGCCTGTTGGCTACCATTTCCACCCATTTTCGGGTCGGCGCATCCGGTGGAGCCCTCAGTGTCAAGGACGAAGTGAACCTATGTCTGAAATTCACAGCTATATAAAATGGAAATTCGGGCATTAAAAAGGACCGGCCGAATGACACCCAATGATGGCGGAAACTTGTACTTAAAGAACGTTTTGGGACATTTTGGGACCTAGCCAAGTCGTTTTGACCTTGTGAGCGGTTTGGATATGATGATTCCGCCTGCTTACAATTTTGCTCGCGCCAACATTTTGGCTGCCGTCTGCGCCCGAGTCTGCCTGAGGCTGCAGTCTGCTACTCCCGCCAAAACCCTTGCAAGGACTCGCCGGAGTGCTTGCCATGATCATGATGGCATTGGCATTGTTTTCCAGCTGTAGCTGTGCCAACGGTGGAGTTCGGGTTCCTCCTCCAATGCAATGCCTACCACCCATGGAAGCTGAAGTCAGGATCGGTTGCTTCTTTCCTCCTCCTCCTTGGATATGTCTCACCCCTTTGATCCAAATTCAACTTGGAGTTCCGACAATTCGCAAGGTCGTTCTGGGTTGTTTTCTGGTGAGCAGGGTAATGGTCAGGGTCCACGCAAGCATTGCACCTTCGAAAGGTTGATCGATGGTGGCCACCAAGAACAAGGAGCAGGAATGGTTACAATCTCAGATGATTCAGCGGTTGTTGAGTGCATCGCGATCCGCATCTACTTCGTGGATCACTTTGTGCCGCTGTGGGGAGGTTGATGGTCACCCACTTGCGTCGTGAGGACAGAAGTACATGGAATTTGTCAGTGGCGGAATGGACGCCTACCACCAGGCCCTAAAGGCCCTTGCGCTGGCCCCTCCTCTCAACAAGCCATCTGAGCTTGACCGCATTGAGCCGCTGTTTGGCCAGGGTAGTTCGGGCGGTTCAGGTGTTAGCCGCAGCGATGGGAAGAAGAGCCGGGCAAGGAAGGGCACAGGACGGGGAAGCAAGAGCAAGAAGCACAAGGGGAAGGCAGGGCCTGGTGCCGAAGCAAGCGTGCAGACATTCTGGGCGCAGGTGGGAGGCGCTTTCTGAAGTCCTTGAAATTTCGCCTCCACAAATGTTCCTGAAGTGGCCACTTATTAGCAAGCACTGCCCAATGACAGCCTTTTCTATCTTTGTAGTAGTGGCGACACGACTGGTCTGGTCTTTGAAAACGGTATTTGCTCATCAGGTGCTGATACATTGGAGTCAGAAGAGAGTCTGTGATACTGAGCGCCTTGAAACCTGAGAAGGATTAGAGAAGCGGTGTAGAATGCTTTTTCTTCATCTTCCAATTGCAGCACAAGAAACTCTGCCCCTTTTTTGCCACCCATCTCAAGCGTGGCAGAGAGCTGCCAGGTGAATCAGTCTCAGCAGATTCTGAGGGCCGTTTATTGCTGCATCATTAGACCTGAAGACACCACGTGGCAAGATTTTATATTTTTCTATCCTGTTGGGCAAGGTTGATCAGGTACTGAGCAGGTTTACTTTGAGACGCTTTATGGTTTTGACACAGGTCCAAAAGAAGGGCTTGCTGATTGTTGTTGTCTCTCAACAGAATTGTTGAAGGTGCTGGTTGAAGGAGCTCGCCCCTTGCTTTATTTGGTGCAGGTTGAGGACTACTTCCGGGACGTGCGCGATGCTGATGTGCAGCTGTTGGCGCCGCGGCCGCCTTTGGAGCAGGACCCGCAGCTGGCTGTGCCGCGGCTCGGGCGGCCGTATTGGCAGGTGTGGCAGGAGGAGGACGTAGCCCAGCAGCGCTCCAGCAGTGCCGCCCAGCAGAAACAGTCTGCCACAGTGGCCAAGCAGAAGCTGCTGTCAGCCAGCCCTGTGAGCAAGGCCAAGAAACGGCCTGCAACCGAGACATCCTCTGCCCCGCTCGTCACCTCAGTGGTAAGGCACAATCAGTCCAGGGAGCCTGTCTCGTGCATCCCGCCATTGTGGCACAAATGAAGCGCATGCGCCTCACGGAGAAAATATCAGAGCCCTGGGCCAGGCACGAATCAAGCATGCCTACGATGTGCTCTTCAAGACATGCGCTGTCTAGTGTGAGTTGCCTCGTATTGTGCCAGTATCACAATTGCCCAGTTCAAGATATGCCGCTTATCTTGTCCCATTGTATCTTTTCTGCAGCTGTCACCGTTACTTGACGAGAATGATGAGCCCTGCGATGTCTGCTATGAAGGTGATTCCGATGAGCTGAACGAGATTCTGTTCTGCGATGGCTGCGACGTTGCGGTGCACCAGAACTGCTATGGGGTGGCCACGGTCCCTCGCGGAGAGGAGCCATGGTTTTGCCTGCGCTGCAGTGCGCCGGACCCGAACGCCCTCTCCTGTGTGCTGTGCCCGCATAAGAAGGGGGCCATGAAACCGGTGGCTGTCGAGGGGGGTCCCCCTGTGGGCCAGCACGCGCACCTCTTCTGTGCCCAGTGGGTTCCTGAGACGTACATCCGGGAGGGGGATGGGGCAGTCATGAACGTGGGCGGGGTGCTCAAGGAGCGCTATAAGCTGACATGCGTACTGTGCAAGGTCAAGCAGGGGGTCTGCATCCAGTGCAGCCACGGTGAGGCACCGCCTCCTGCGATGAGGGGGGCCAGAGCTGCATTCCAGCCCAGGACGGCACAGGCTGTCGCTGAGTGGTCTCCTTGCTCTTGGACACTGATGTGTGCACCTCCTTTGTTGTCAGATGTAAGCTGCTTAACTGCATGCAGGTCATGAGGGCGTGGCTGTGTTTGGCAGCAAACACTTCTCATTGCAGTGTCGCATGATTATACAGCTTGATGAGAAGAAAAAGAGAAGGCGATTGCAGTGCCCCGAAGAAAAGTGTCCGTGGTGGCCTTTTATTTTGTGCTCACAGAGTCATTTAGTCCACTTGTGTCGGCCCTGCAGGTCAGTGTGCTGTGGCGTTTCATCCCCTGTGTGCGCGGGCCAATAAGCTTCAGATGGAGATTGCAAGCAGGGAGGATTCGGAAGAGGTGTGTCTCAGCCTGGGCTCCACTTGATGAGGCAGGGCAAGCATGGAGCTCCTGGTTGTCTGATCAATGTAAACAGTGCCCGGCATGCGAACAGCTATTGGCTGTGTAACCTAGCAGTTTTCCAACGTGAGCCGTTTCTGAGCCTGGCAGATGCACACGAGGTCAAGTTAAGGACTGCCCTCCATGAGAAGTTTCTTTGCTCGGCACTCCGCCTTGTTCCGTCCCACTAGCCACCAGAAAGCATCACCATGCAAGCTCAAAACCTACTTTCACTGACTCAGATGCGGCCATCCTCTCCTGTAAAAATCCACAAGGGGTAGGTTCAAGCCTTGTATCTCAGAAGCAGGTGCCTTCTGGCTTTCCTTGTGGGTCTGATAGAGATCTGTATCTGCCTTATCAGAGGAAGCCTTGTCACGCTGTACAGGCGGTACTGTTGAGTGCGCTCTTTTCCTGCCACTCCTTGTAGTAGTGCACTGCGAGGGCGGCTTGCCCTGATTGCCTCCGCTGGTTGCTACTACGGGCTGCGTTTTGAAAGCTGCGCAATTTTGCTCCTTTTTTCCAGGTTGAGCTACGCGCTTTTTGTGCCAAGCATTCAAAAGAGCGGCCCGCCCACGTGCTTGACCTGAACCCTCCCCCGGAGCCCCAAGAGGGGCTGCTTCCCCCGCCAGGAGCGGCCACCAGCGGCCCAGAGACGGACTTGAAGCAACAGGCGGGAGCAGGGCCAGGCAGAGCGCCATTGGGGGAGGCGGCTCAGAGTGGCTGGACAACTCGCAAGGATGCGATCCCCCCAGGAGCATTGCTGCCCAGCTTTGACAGTGCGGGGAATGAGGAGGCAGCCGGATTCAGGCCAGCGCAGGACTGGGCCTCCACTCCTTCAGCAATTAAGGGCAGACCTCTACAGTTGCGCGGCGGGGCGCCTGAGGGGGACGAGACTGAGGATGAAGGGGACGATGAGGACATGGCGGGGCTGCCCAGTCCTGTGGAGGGGGGGCTGGCACGCGAATTGGCAACCGACTCCGAGGCTGAGGACGGGGAGGGCAGCGACGATGATGACGAGTACGCAGGGCTTGGTGAGGACCCTGGGGGAGTGGCAGACAGAGGGGCCGCAGCAGAGGCACTGCTGCCGGCGGGACCGCTGAACACATTTGAGCTGTCGGTGCTGGCCCCCGAGGAGCGGCGATACCTGAGCGCGGCAGAGCAGGCGCAGGTGGACAACCTGCTGGCGTGCCTGGACTCCACGGTGCTCATCGAGCTGGCCAAGGGGGTCATGGCACAGCTCAACATTACGCAGACGGCGCTGGCGCACATGGCGCAGGTGTCGCAGAGCATCCTCTCCTACTGGCTGCACGGCCGCAACCGACCTTCGCAGGAGGCCATCAACGTGAAGATGCGCGCCTTCCTGCGCGGCTATTGCATCGCCACCGAGGTGCCTGCCGAGACTGATGACGACGTCGGCACCTCGTTCGTGGCAGAGGGGCAGTTGCCGTACTACGATGTGGAGGGATACTACCCTCAGGCGGGTTACGCGGTCCTGGAGCAGGACGGGGTGAACAGCCATGGGGGAGTGAACGGGGGCCCTGCTGGGGGGGCCTACGAGGGGGTGAGTGAGGGGTCGGAGCTGCTGCACCACCTGGCGGCACGCACTGCCGCTAGCACAGGGCGCGCGCTACACCACCAGGCTGCACCAGGGGCGGCCTCAGGTCGAGGGGAGGGGGGCCCAACAGGGCCAGAGGAGGACGGGGAGCGCTGGACCTGCAGGCAGGGAGAGCAGGACAGCAGCAGCAAGGCGGTGGGAGGCGACAGGGAGGAGCAATGGAGGGGGGAGCAGGCAGGAACGGAGCCAGATGGCACGAGTAGCCGAGCGGGCGCGGCAAGAAAGGCATTGAGAAGCCAGAGGAGGCGGGGAGGGGGGGCAGGTGGCTGGGGTGGAGCAGGGGCCCGACCGGGGGCCGATGCACTGAGCAGCATACAGCAGAGCGAAGATCATACGGTGGGGCCCATTCTGCAGGAGCATTCGGCATCAATACAGCTGGACCACGAGAGAAACGGAGGCCAGGCTCAAGAGACGACTGCAGGGCCGAGCTCGGCGCAGCTGCCCCCGGAGAAGCGGCCTGCCGTACCCCCTACCCCGGCCCCTGGACCTCCTGCGGCTGAGGCTGCTCCGCAGAGTGGGGCGGTGGGCCAGGCCCTCAACGTAACCCCCACCGCTGAGCACGGCATCAGCAGCAGGGTGCGCGGAGCCGCCCGCACCAGTGCTCTGCGGGCCGCCGCCTCCATGGCTGCGGCAGCAGGGGCAACGGCTGGCCAGGCTGGCCAGCGAGGGGTGTCGGGGCAGAAAAGAGGTGTGCCCCCCCTCGGGCTGAGCGAGCCGGAGGAGGTGCACGCGTACACACTTGCTTTGGCAGACCCGGGGGGTGCAGGGCGCAAGAGCAATGATGGTGGCAGGGCTCGGGAACCTGGGGAGCAAGGGGCTGCAGGAAGTGGTGCCGGGCCAGCAAGAGGTGAGGCTGGAAGATACCTTGGAAGGAGAATGTGGGGTCCATACTTCAATGCTGGAACCCCACACTGCTTTGCACTCGGCGCCCGCAACTCATATGGTGTTGTACTATTGGGCATCACTCGGTGGCTTTTCCTTGTTTCCGGGAACACAAGTCACGTCTGCATGTTCGGTATAACGAGCATTCGGTGGTTGTTCGATGGGTCAGTTACAAGCTCAAGTCTTGTAGTGCGTACCATGGAGTTCTACTTGATCTACACGTGGCAGGGCTAGCTGTCAGCTGCTGGCGCACCGAGTACCAATCGTTTTGGGGGTCAAAGTGAAAGCAGAGTCCATGTTCTCTTTCCATCCGTTCCCTCAGGAAGCTGCTGCTTGTTTTTAGACGAGGATATCCGCTTCCAGTTCTTCTGTGTGCTCATCGGGCATGGCTGCTGGCCTTGCCCGTCCTTTCCGCTGCTGCACCCGTATGCAGGCCCGGCGCTGGGCCAGGCCCTCAGGGCTGTGCTGCCTGGCTCGAGTCTCCCTTTAGAACAGTGGACCCGCTCTGATAGCCTCACACCTCTGCTGGCCCCCCCTGCAGGCACACCGGGCACGCCCAATGGGGTCAGCCCAATGGGAAATGTGGCGGCGGGCGAGCTGTCAGTGGCGTGGCAGGAGGCGCAGCTGGCGGCCGCCCGGCCGCTGCTGGGGCAGGCCCCCGAGGACGAGGTGGTGGGCGAGCTGTACGCGCAGCAGGCCGCCCTCTTGGCGCAGCTGGCGGCCAACGGCGCCCGCGCGGCACGACTGCTGCAGCAGCTGCTCCCGTGGCTGCCGGCGCAGCTGCGTGGTGCGCGCGTACGCGGGGAGCAGGCGCGTCTGGTGGACCTGTACCTGGCGGCGGAGAAGGAGGCCAAGAAGCACGACCGCAAGCTCAAGAAGGACAAAGAGGCGGCCGCGCTGCTCGCAGCAGCCACCGCCGCCGCTGCCGCCTCGCCCCGCAACTCGCACCTGCGCAGGGAGGGCTCATTTGGGGGAACTCCGGGCGGGTCTCCGGGGGCGTGGGAGGCCGGTGCCAGTGCGGCGGGGCCCACCAGCGGAGGCATGGCAGCACCTCCGCAACAGATGGATCTGGCGCGTGCGGCAGCTGCAGGGGCGGCGGCGATTGCCAGTGGCAAACCGCCCAAAGCCCCCGGGTCCGGGCCGCGCAGTGGCGGGCCCAGCAAGCCCCGTGTGCGGCAGAAAGGGCTGGGCGGGACAGCAGTGCAGGCAGGGCGGCCGGCTGGCCGCGGTCCCGGGGCAGGGGCGGGTGAGAGTGGTGGAGGCGAGCGGAGCTGGCGGGGCAAGCCGGTGCGGCCCACCTTGCCGGACGAGTGGCCGCAGGCAGCGAGCGGGGAGGCGCTGTGTGCGGTGTGTGGGCAAGGGGAGTCGGCAGCGCCCAACGAGATCGTGTTTTGCGAGCAGTGCGGCGTGGCGGTGCATCAAGAATGCTACGGCGTGCGCACCATCCCGACGGGCCCCTGGTGGTGCCAGCCGTGCGCATACCAGCGCCAGCACCGCGGCCCTTCTGCTCCCGCCCTCGCGGCAATCCCGGGTGAGCCCCCGGGACGGGGCCACCCTGGGACGCAGTGCGCCCTGTGCCCTGGCCGGACGGGCGCCATGAAGCGGGCCACGGCAGCAGGCCCGGACGCGGCGCCGCGCTGGGTGCACGTCTTCTGCGCGCAGTGGATGCCGGGGACGAACCCGGGCAAGGGGGAGGGCGCGCTGGTGGAGGGGCTGGAGACCCTGGGGGCGGACTGCGCCAGCGCGCGCTGCAGCCTCTGTGGGAGCAAGCTGGGAGCGTGCCTCACGGTGAGAAATGCGGACAGGCTGAGGCCCCTTGCGATAGTGCATCTGCGGATTGGGTAGGTTCGCGGAAGGCAGTGCCTTGCCATGCTGGCCGGCTGCGTACTCCAGGAGCGGGTGCCTCACGCTCCCGTTCGTTGTGTGCAGTGCTCTGCGGCACGCTGCTCCCACAAGTTCCACGCCTCCTGCGCCCGCAACGCCAGCCTGGCCATGACGCTCCAGGTAATGTCCGCCCCCATGCGGCGCTCGCCTGCCTGGCGCCATTGGCGTGACGCTTGGTGTCCCCTGCTGCTCTTCTCCTCGGGGGTGGCTCCCTTCTGCTGGCCGCAGCACCGTAGTGTGACGCCGTGTGCCTCGCTGGCCTGTGCAGTCCACTCCCGACGGCCGCCTGCTATACCACCAGTACTGCGAGCAGCACTCAGCGCACGGACAGGCGCCGCCCGGAAAGGTGGGTCCCCTTTTGGCGGCAGAGCACCCGCACCCCCACTGTTCGCTCTTGCTGCTCGGCGTGTCTCGTGGATGCGTCCGGGCCGGGCTCGGCCCGCGACCTTGTTGTGTATAGCACGCCAAGAGGCCTTGCTGGTGCAATCAGCTTGTTTATTGCTGTATCGTACGTCCCGCCTGGCGAGATGCATCAGGCCCACTATCCAATTCCTGCGCCACTCAAGTGTTGAGAATCGTAAACTTCGACGTGTCGAAGGAGACAGAGGGTATGGAAGACCCAACGTGAAGTAGCCGGAGCTGTGCGGGTCTTGGCTTGCGGTTGCTACTGACGGCCGACTCCGCTGAGAGTGGCATGGAAAATCCGGCGAGTTGCAGCTAGGACTGCCTGCGTCTCCTGCTTCAGTTTTGTTTCTGGGTTTCTAGGGTTCATCACTAGCTGCTCCTGACATTTCTTGCCTGTTCTGCCTCAGCCGTTGCTGCCTGTGACCGGCCCCTTGTTTTGCAGGAGCCCGGCCCTGCCGCTGCTCCCGACAAGGAGCAGCAGCTGGCGCAGCTCAAGATCGTCCGGGTACGCCTCCGCCGCTGCCTCTCGCCACTGCGTGCCCCACCCATGTTGGCGCTGGTCGTGCTGGTGCTGGATCTCCTTTGCCCCGGCTGGTGGGGGCCGTGCCTGCGGTGCCTCTGCCGTTGCTGCTGTGCATCTAATCAGTGCCTTGGCAGGTTTGTCTTTGACGTCTCTCCGTGCGGTTGTGTGGCAGGTCGAGTTTGAGCGCGTGCGCATGATCTGCGACCGCCTGATGCGCCGCGAGAAGCTCAAGGTTAGGCCCCGCCGCCGCCCGCGTGGCCCTCCTTCAGCATGGCAAGAACCCCTTGAGACACGTCACTCTCCGGCGCCTTGCTCGGCCAGGCCCCTTGCTGCGACTGGTGGTGCGTCTGCGGCGCCGGCTGTGCCTGACACGTGGTGCTGTTTGTGTGTCGCAGCGCGAGCGGGTGCGCACACTGCGAGAGCTGGGGTCGGCCCAGCTGGCCGCGGCGGCCCAGGCCGTAGCGGCGGCGGGGGGAGGCGACCCGGAGGACCGCAGCCCGACGGTGCGGCCGCAGCGGCAGAGGAAGGGCAAGGGGCGAGACGGCGCGAACGAGGGGGAGGGTGAGGGTTCGGCTCTAGGGGAGCCAGGCCCCGGCAGCAGCGGCAGGCCCACCGACGAAGCCATGGGGCCGCATATCAGCGGGCCACGCACAAACCTGCACCAGAAGAAGCGGTCAGCCGCAGGAGAAGGGGCACGAGATGCCAAACGGGCGCGGCTGACTAAGCCGGCGCAGGAGAGGAAGATGGCCTCCCCCGCCAGCAGCCCGCACAGTAGGAAGCAGCATGCAAGCCCCGCGCAGGGGCCCTCCGGGGCAGACGGGCGGCTGGGCCCAGAGTGGGCCCACCGACAGGATGTTCACAGACAGGACACGCATGCTGGCTTCTAAGGACAGGGGCGGGTGCACATGGGACGAGTGCTGGCTTTGTGCCCACGTGCTCTGCGTTTTGCCAAACAAATGCTCGAGGAGCCTGAAGCATATCAGGTGGCTGCATCCCACCTGAACGTGATACATGGATCTTCCGGCTGAGTCGTCTGCGCACAAACGTGTCGGCTCCTGTGTATCAAAGTCGCTCTTTCCTTTATCGAACGGTAGCTTTTTTTGACGTTCTTCATAAAGTAGGAAGTGTGGATGTGATCGAGAGTCTCCTGGCCGTCATCGAAATGCATGGGTCATGAAGAGAGCTCGAGCACATCAAGTAAAGCAGGAATGATTGGATGATTATTTTAATGACATGTTCCTCCCAATTACGTCAGCAGAAGCGGGCATTTTTTATGACTTCCTCGCATGCAATCACAGTTGTGCAATGATGTTGACCATTTTCTTATTATACTACAAGTTGATTGGTTGATGGATTTTAAGGTCCGTTCGGGAGCCGCATTATAGATCTAATGATTGTTCTTTTATCTAATTTAATAACTGTCGCTTTTGATAGAACAAAGTATTCAATTATATCATAAATCTTCCATCAGGCGGCCCTCGCTGTGCGGACGGACGCTGCAGGATATTTGATATGCACGAACGGACTCTTTATGATAGCTTAGTGTATAGCTCATACTGACCGGCCCGGATTCGTACGGCCGGCCTCACGTCGCGCAGACTCGCTGACTCATGCGGGATCCAGCCTGACCTGCATATGGCTGTGCCAAGCAATTTTGTATGTCGGGGCGCCCCGGCGGCAGCGGCGAGCCTAGGCGGCCCCCTCAGCAGTAATACACTATAAGAGCATATCCTGTCTCATGCACCATATCGAAGAGAATCAAACAAGTTGGAGGTTTGAGTTCTGTGTATGCACGTCTCAAAACCTGCAATTAGATTACATATGCGCATGAGTCGGGTACTAAGCTGCTTCAATATTGGATGGCATGCTCATTCTGCATTCTAAGTATGGCACTCATACCGTACGCCTGGAAAGAGCGCAGCTTAAAGATATGATAATTCCATTGCAGATTAAATGCATGAGGCTTGGAAGACGGACTCAGAAACAAGCTTCTAATTGTAATTAGACCAAAATTCATTCTTGCTATCTTCAGTGCAGGACTTATAAGCAAGTAGTGGGCCGGATTGTGTAACCGGCTTTGCCAGTCGTATAACAGCCGCCCACTCAGATAACATTCGCCAACTTTCGAAAAGTTAAATCAACTCGGTATACGCACTATACTAAATACTAAATGTAGTCAAAACATCATTCCGACGTGCAAAGGCGCTCGGAACTCCAGTCCACGTAGCCGAGAATAATACTACATCGGAACTCCAGTCCACATAGCCGAGAATAAACTAAACCGCGGGCCCCCGAGTCCAGCTCGACTTCATTGAGTGCCAATTCCATGGGCCCAGCCCTGCTTGGGTTTTAGGATTTTTAGCTATAGTTTAGATTTGTTTAGTTGATTTAACGTCGGTTCGGAGCTGTGGTCGGCTAAGTCGACGATTGTCTCTATTTGTATTTCTACATGCACTAAACTCGCTCTTAAAGCAAAGCTTAAGTGTAGATACTTTCCTTTCGCATACTTATCCTGCAGATTAAGGAAGGACTTCAGATTCTTCTCTCCTCTCACCTCAAAGATGCAAGGGAAATATTTCCTAAGGTCCGTATACGCTGGGCATTTGTACAGGAAGTGACATTCGTCCTCTACTTCACCCGTTGCACAAAGAGCACAATACCTCTCTGCTCGAGGTTTTCCCTGCCAGGCTCCGGTTTCTATAGCCAAATTATCATTGAGCTCCAAGTCTAAATTTGGCTAGCGCATGGAGAAACATGCTCTATTTGGTCTAAGTAGGGCTCATAGGAGTAGCCTTGCTTCACCTCCTCGAAGTAAGCTATAGGGGTAAATCAACTGCCAGATGAGAAGACGGTGTGACTTTAGTTCCATATGCATGTTCTTTGGAACTTAACCGTCGACGTCCGTATATGGCCTGACGAACTCGCATATTGAATCAGGATTGAATCTACGAGTATACCGCCTATGGCTCAAAATGATGGTATTCGTTGTAGTACTATCTGCAGGCCATCATTGCGGCATAGCCAGGCCCTGAAGAGCTGTAGCACCCACCACTGTTTGCAGGCCTTTTACTTGAGGGTTGGCGGCCCAGCGGCGCTAGCTAGCTAGACTGGCCGTCACTTTCAGATACGGCCGGGCATTTGGTAGCCCGGGCCGGGCCACAGACATTACAGTCACTGCGGTAGCCTTGTAGTACGACTATAGCAGAATGTACACCCAATGCATCTATCCCCGCACACGCGCGCCTCATGCAGCCTCTTTTCCAACTTTCATGCAAGTCATGTATCACATCAGTCATGCTATGTACATGTTCGCATACATCAAAGAGAATTGATAAAATGAGCAGCATGCCGCCAGTGGCATGCATGGGCGATTGTCGCTTTGTCGCCATGGGTCCCACAAAACAGTCGAGGGCCAATCTTACATTTACCACACAAAGTAAATAGTGCAAGTCGTAGATTTGATTCAAACGACGACAAATGGCCTGGCACAGCCGGTGACAGTGTTTACTAAAGCTAAGATGGGTATTCACTGATTAGTCACACAGCCTAACCGAAAGCTGAACCCCACATGAACGAACTGATAGCCTCTCGCTCCTAGGAATTCGATGCAAAGTCTTTCAAAGAACTTGAGGCTTTAGCTCGCTCAAGCATGCAAGAGCAAATTGGCTAGTATTCAACACCCTGCTGCAATAAAATAGGCCACTCGGCCCTTCTGGTACAATCGACTTCCAGCACGTTATTTTGGCCCCCACTGCTGCGGCCAACGTACATGCTTCCGGCCATGTCCGCCTGCGCACTACGCCTCACTCGGCTCGTAGTTGAGCATCTGCGAGAGCCAGCGCTCGGCGTCTTTGAGCGGCATGCCCTTGCGCGCTGCGTAGTCCGTCACTTGGTCCTGCCCGATTTTGCCCACCGCGAAGTACTGGCTGTGCGGGCTCCCGAAGTACAGCCCCGAAACACTGCAACCCACACGTACCGGAATTAGGTACATCCGGCCGGCAACCATGTAAAAGCAACAGCCGACCAACGCGATGCCAGGGCCTACCACACGCGATTCAGGCGGCCAGTCCCCGACAAGGCGTTACCCCTGGGCCGCTGACCTTGCGTAGAGGTGAGCTTGGCAAAGGGCGCTCACCTGGCGGCGGGCAGCATGGCCATGGACTCGGTGAGACTGATGCCGGTGGTGTCGGCGGCGGCCATGAGCTTCCACATGGTCTCCTTCTCGGTGTGGTCCGGCTGGCTGGGGTACCCCGGCGCAGGCCGGATCCCCGCGTAGCGCACCTTGAGCAGGTCCTCCGTGGAGAGCGCCTCGTCAGCGGCGTAGCCCCACACGGCCTTGCGCACCTCCGCGTGCAGCACCTCCGCAAACGCCTCGGCGAGGCGGTCCGCGAGCGCCTCTGCCATGATGTAGCTGTAGTCGTCATTGCGCGCCTTGAAGTCGGCCACCATGGCGTCCAGCCCGAAGCCGGTGCTGACGCAGAACATGCCCACCCAGTCCGCCACGCCGGCGCTCTTTGGCGCCACGAAGTCGGCCAGCGCCAGGTACGGCTCGTCCGTCTCCTTCTCGCTCTGCTGCCGCAGCGTGTGCAGCCGCGCCGCGACGGTGGTGCGCGTCTCGTCGGTGTACACCTCGATGTCGTCGCCAACCGCGTTGGCCGGATACAGCCCCACCACGCCGTGCGCGGCCAGCTTCTTGCCCGCCACGATGTCCGCCAGCATCGCCTGCACCACCGGCGCACGCCGCGCTCGGATCAGCCGAGTGCGCCGCCGCAGTCGAGCGGGCCAACTAAAGCAGAGCACAGCCAAACGATTAAACTCTTGCAAAGCACCTCGGCACCGAACCCAGAGGACGCAAAGGAAATCTTTTCGAAAGGCAAACGCATGATGCCTCAGCTTGCAGCCGGACCAGTGTGTGACGTGAGCAGGCGGGCAGAGGGTATCTGCGTGCTGCCTCACCTGGGCCTCATCGAACAGCTTCTTGGCCTCGGCCCCTACGGTCTCGTCGTTGAAGATCTTGGGGTAGCCACGGTTGGGGTAGCGGCCCCGCAGCTGCCACACCTGTCACACAGCCCCCCCTTGTCAATCCTTGGCGCTTGCAAATCGAGGGGCCACTTCGGCCGCAAGGGGCTGCTAACTTAGTTTTTTTGCTACACGAGCTGCAGACGCCGTCCAGCATCAGCAGGAGCCTCCGGCGAGCACAAAGGGAAGCTTCCCTCGCTTCGGGCTGATGCGCTTTGGTATCGCGCGGGTGCTGACCTGGAAGAAGGGGTTCCAGTCGATGGCGTCCAGCAGCTGGTCCAGCGGGAAGTCGCGGTACACGGTGTTGCCCAGCTTGGCGGGGCGCACCGGCGCGTTGGCGGGCAGCTTCCAGTCGACCGCCAGGCCGGCGTCGCGCGCCTTGGCCAGGGGCAGGTACTTGCGGTCCTGCAGCCCCGCGTAGTGCTCCTCGCGCAGCTCCCTGCACGGACGCCACCCCGCGCAGCCTCAGCACGCGGGCCAGAAACAGGGGCCCCTTCCCGTCAAGCTGCTGACACGGCAAGCACTGGCAGGATCGGGGACGCCACTACCGGCGCCGGTCCCTTTTTAGTGTAGATTCCAAAGCCGCCTTGGTGCCACAAAGAGCGACTTTTGTGGGGGTGGGGTGTGGGCACTGACTTGTAGGTGTCGCGGATGTCTGCCGCGAAGTCGTCCCGCGCGGTGGGGTCCAGCAGGGACGAGACGACGGGCACGCTGCGGGACGCGTCCAGGACGTGCACCACGCTGCCGGCGTACTGCGGCTCCACCTTGACGGCGGTGTGCATGCGCGACGTCGTGGCGCCGCCGATCAGGAGCGGGATACGCAGCCCCTCGCGCTCCATCTCCTTGGCCACCGTCACCATCTCGTCCAGCGACGGCGTGATCAAGCCTGCGTGCACACCAGCAGTCGCCGTCAGCACCAAGACAGGCCGGCGTCAGTGATGCTGCGAGGCTGTGATGACCCTCAGGCTGCGGCTGCGGCCGCGGCTGCGGCCAGCAGCCCGACAGTGCTCGACGCACGGGCGTGCCTCCCGCTCAGGCAGGTGAGGGAAGTGGGGCAGAGTTGGGGCAGCCGCAGGACGGGCCGTGCGGTGCTGGGCGCGGGGGCGCGCTCACCGGAGAGGCCGAGGATGTCGGCCTTGTGCTCCTTGCAGGCCGCCAGGATTTTGGCGCAGGGGCACATGACGCCGAGGTCGACGACCTTGTAGTTGTTGCACCCCAGCACGACGGCCACGATGTTCTTCCCGATGTCGTGCACGTCGCCCTTGACGGTGGCCAGCACCACGGTGCCCGCCGTGCTGGCCTGCTCCGCCATGTCCGGGTTGGCCAGCAGCGCCGCCGCCTTCTCCTCCTCCATGTACGGAATGAGGTGCGCCACCGCGCGCTTCATCACGCGCGCGCTCTTGATGACCTGCGGCAAAAACATCTTGCCCGCGCCGAAGAGGTCGCCCACGACGTTCATGCCGTCCATGAGCGGGCCCTCGATGATGTGCAGCGGGCGCGCAAAGCGGCCGCCGGAGCGCGCCTCCTCCGTGTCGGCCACCACGTACTGGTCGATGCCCTTGACGAGCGCATGCGACAGCCGCTTCTCCACGGGCAGGGCGCGCCACTCGTCCTTGTTGCCGCCCACGGCCGCGCCAGCCTTGGGGTCCACCTTGGTCGCAAACTCCAGCATCTGGAACACCAGTACCCCACGATCAGAAGGGGAATCGATGTGCAAAACCAGAAAGACAAGCATCTCGCCTTCCAGAGCTCTCCAGAACCAGTGTCCAGCACCCGACGTCCATGTGTGGCTATGGGACGACTGAATTTTGATGCTAAAGGTCACCGATGCTCCCATCCAACTTACCTGACTTCGCCGCACATGTGGCAGGAACTTCGAAATAAGCAGCCAAGTATTCTCCTTGATTCGTTGTAAGAAGAGTCGAGAGATTGTCGTTGGTATTCTAGTACAATCTGCCCTGCTTTATGGCAAAGGCGAGCAGTGGAGGCGCTCATCAACAGGCGTTCAATTCTGATGGCCGCAAGACGCCAGAACAGCGACACCGGCCATGTTTCAGAGTGAGCGGCGCTTCGCAGTCACCCGCTCGGTAGCGTCGGGCCGCCTGTTGAGGATGCAGTCCTCGACGTGCGCCAGCAGGTCCTTGTCGATGTCGTCGTAGATGTCGATCTGGCCCGCGTTCACGATGCCCATGTCCATGCCGGCCTGGATCGCCCAGTACAGGAACGCACTGCACCAGCCGCCACGTGGCGTCAGCAACCCATGACACCAGGAGCGCCATCTCGCCGCCCCATTGAGGAGCTTCAGGGAAGCGCAGGGCAGCGATTGCAGGCAGCAGGGGCCAGCATGGCACCTTGCGTCAGCAGGGGCGCCTCGGTAGTTGAGGAGCTGGCCAGGACGGGAGCCCTGCGTTTACCTGTGGAAGGCACGGCGCACAGGCTCGTTGCCACGGAAGGAGAAGGAGATGTTGGACACGCCGCCGCTGATCTTGGCGCCAGGGCAGATCTGCTTGATCTTGGTGGTCGCGCGGAAGAAGTCGACGGCGTAGTTGTTGTGCTCCTCCAGGCCGGTGGCGATGGTCAGGATGTTGGGGTCGAAGATGATGTCCTCCGGATTGAACGCGCACTCCTCCACCAGGATCTTGAACGCGCGCGCGCAGATGCGCACCTGGACACCGCACCACAGACAATGGTTTAAAGAAGGCAATGAACGACGAGGCCTCTGCTTGTGGTGAACAGCGTAGAATAAGACTTGCGGCACGCTGTCAGGGCATCCTCTGGCACTAATACGTGCAGCGCCTGCGAGAGCGCTCTGCCGGGGGACGTTGCCCGGTGCGAAGCGTGCGGGGCTGACCTTGTCGTACTCGGTGGCGGCCTGGCCGTCCTCGTCGAAGGCCATGACCACGACGGCGGCCCCGTGGCGGCGGCAGATCTTGGCGTGGCGCTTGAACTCGTCCTCGCCCACCTTGAGCGATATGGAGTTGACGATGCACTTGCCCTGGCTGCACTTGAGGCCCGCCTCCACAACGTGAAACTTGCTGCTGTCGATCATGAACGGCACCTTGCTCGCGTCCGGCTCCGAGACGAGCAGGTTCACGAAGCGCGTCATGGCGGCCACGGAGTCGAGGAGGCCCTCGTCCATGTTGATGTCGATCACCTGCGCGCCCATCTCCACCTGCTTGATCGCAATCGCCAGCGCCTTGTCGTAGTCGCCCGCCAGCACCGCCTTCTTGAACACAATGCTGCCCGCCACATTGCACCGCTCTCCAATGTTAATGAACGGGATCGTCTCGGGCGTGTAGTTGAACGCCTCAAGCCCGCTAATGCGCAGCATGTTGCGCACAGACGGCACAGGGCGCGGCTTCTCCCCAGCAACCTGCACCACACGACACCCGTGGAAAGTCAGCACAAAGACGAGCACGCACACCAGTTTGCTCCGACCAATCGCTTGTCTTGGTGCGGACAAGAGAGCGGACGGTCCTCTGAGGAGCCAACCAACAAGACATGCCTCCCTTCAAAAACGTTGCGGGCAAAGCCAAGCCTGAACAGTCCAACGTTCAGCATTGTTTTGGTGCGCCCAGCTGACCTCCTTCTGGGCCACAACAGCCACCGACTCTTCCAACCGCAGCATGCCTGAGCCCGCCAGTGTTGCTCACCATGTCGGCAATGGCACGGATGTGGTCAGGCGTCGTGCCGCAGCAGCCGCCAATGATGTTCACGAGGCCCCCCGTGGCAAAGTCACGCACGTTCTCCACCATCTGCGCAGGCGTCTCGTCGTACCCGCCCATGGCGTTGGGGAGCCCCGCATTGGGGTAGCAAAGCACGAACGTCTCGGCCAGCTCGCCCAGCGTCTTGATGTACGGCCGCATATCACGCGCCCCCAGCGCACAGTTAAGCCCCACAGCCACGGGGCGCGCGTGGCTGACGCTCACCCAGAAGGCCTCCCCGGTCTGGCCCGACAGCGTGCGGCCCGACTGGTCCACAATGGTCCCGCTGATCATAACGGGGACCTCGTAGCCCACCTCATCAAAGAACTCGTCAATTGCATACAAGGCAGCCTGCACACAGCCAGCCGTAAATTATTCGAGTGCCACGCGAGCGTGCAAGACGCAGTTGTCATGGCAGGCGCTGCCCACCATTGGAAATGCCTCCAAAGTCTGTGCCACAACCTGAACCTGGCAGCCTGAACCTGGCAACCCGAACATGGCAACCCCAGTGCTGATGTCTATGCAACAGGCAGTGGCGAGATAAAGGATCAGGCTACCGAACGTGCATCCGTCAAAGTGCTCGCCTCAGCATGCGGCGTGCGGCGGCGTACCTTGGCGTTGAGGGTGTCGAAGATGGTCTCCACCAGGATGAGGTCCGCGCCCGCCTCCACCAGCGAGCGCACCTGCTTCGTGTACGCCTCCACAATCTCGTCAAAGGTGCACGCACGGAACGCCGGGTTCTCCACGCTGGGGGACACCGACAGCGTGCGGTTCGTGGGGCCCACCGCTCCCGCCACAAAGCGCGGACGAGTCGGATCTGCTGCCTCTGCACGCTCCACAGCGCGTTGCGCAACCTGCCAGAAGCAGCAAGAGCATGGGCTGGAAGGATGGCAGGTAAGCAGGGCCTCAACAAACCTATGGGCATGCCCTGTATTTCCAGGGCCATCAATTGTAAAGACCCCAGACATCGACCTGAGCTGCCCTAAGCAGCAGTGGGTCAACTTGTTTGAAGGACTATTTGATAGATCACGCGCCCACAAGTGCGCCGGCGGCGCCGCTGACTGGCAGGCCGAGGTACCTAGGCACGGGCGCACACCTTGACAGCCTCGACATTGATGAGCGCCACCTCTTCGTCAGCCTGGAGGTCATAGTCGGCCTGACTGATAGACGTCCCGTTGAACGTGTTGGTCTCGACAATGTCAGCTCCTGCGGACAGGTACTCGAAGTGGATGCCCTCAATCACGTCGGGCCGTGTAATAACCAGCAGGTCGTTGTCCCCCTTCAGATCGCAGTGGTGCGCAGCATACCGCTCCCCCCTGCACGCCAAGCCGCAGATGCATCAACAAGCGTGAGCGCAGGCCTCAGGATTGCACACCTGCACGATGCTGCGTCAAGCACGCCGGCAAGCCGGACCTCAGGAGCTTTTCTCTCAAGGGCCGTGCGCGCTGACCTGTAGTCCTCCTCCTCCAGCTTGTGGCGCTGGATCATGGTGCCCATGGCGCCATCAATGACCATAATGCGCTGCCGCATGATGCCGTCCAGCGCAGCAAACAGGTCGCGCCCCACAACCCGCTCGTTGCTCTTGCCGTCTGCCGTGACCGCCTCGTCGGGGTCCACGCGGGCAGCCCCGTCAACAACGTAGTGGAACGTGCAGCGCCCCTGCGGCAGGACATAGTCCAGGTAGAAGCAGCCCGTCTCCGAGCGTGACGGCTTGAGTGCCGCGGGCTTGCCCCCCGTGAAGGCCCCCATCACCGCCACACTGCGGCCCCCGTGGCGCCACACAAACTGGGTCACGCCAGGCTCTGCCAACACAAAGAGCGCTTAGCAGGCACGCAGACAAATGAGAGCGAGAAACAACCAAGGGACCCGCCCAGCAGGCTGATGAGCCAGATGAGACTGATGAGGATGCTAATACCACCAACAGTCTCATGCAGGCAGGGACACCGCCAATACAAACCTTTGCCAGTACTCGTTGAGTCAGACTCGGCCTTTATACAGAAAAACGTGAATCATTGAGGCCAATGCAAGCAGCCAGCCGACATCTCATGAACTTGGATTAGGCACTTACTGTCACTTTTGGGACTGGGGCGCCGTTTGCCGGGGTACTTGATGTCTGCAAGGTGCACACAAACCTGGATATTTAAGTACACAGGGCGCTCGATTCTGCGGTGATATGATCCATGATGTGATCCCCTCGTTGTCTGAAGACAGGTTGTCAACACTGCACACATAGATCTATTATGCTGCTCCTCTGGAGGGCCATGATACATGATCTTGCATAGCCGAGTGGCCGCCCCTGCCCCGTGCCTTTTCTAGCGGCTGCTCACAAGCCTGGTTAGCCGGGCATGCTCTGTGTGGGATCCCTGCCCACCATGGTTACCAGGGCAGCCTGACACCAGCACGAGTCCCTCTAACCCAGATCTGCCCCTGTTCCTACTGCTAGCCCCCACCATGGGCCCCAATGGCGGGCGCGGTGCTCGCCGCCTGCGCATCCCCTGCTGGCTCACCTGCTTTGGGGAAGTTCCAGTCCAAGCCATCCTCCACCGCCGCCGCTGCTGCTCCTGCTGCTGCCGCCTCCTTCTCTTGCACGTCACCGCTGCTGCCTTTGTCGCCAGCATTGGGTGCTGCTGTTGCTATTGCTGCCGCTGCTGCCCCCTTGCCTCCACTTGCCAATGCCACAGTGGCATCCCCCTCCGGGGCTGCCCCTTTTGAGGCACCCTGGGTAGATCTGTCTCCTGTTGCATCGGGACCCTTAAGCGCAGGCTTGGCCTGGGCGGACGGCGTGGCCGGCAGCTCCTGCAGCTGCACGCTCCGGGGTGCGGATCCAGCCCGGGGGGTGTGAAAGCGCGCCGGCAGCAAGAAGAGGCCCGCGAGCGCCAGCAAGGCTGCGGGGAGCAGGATGGGGAGCAGGAAGAGGGACACAGGCCAGGCAGCCAGCACGACCGCAAGCGAGCTCACCGGCCTCGCCTTCAAAATTGCCACCAGCTTCTGCAAGGACAAAGCAACCCCCGCCATGATCGCGAAAAGCAATCTGCAGCACGGCGTGGAGCCCACTGTCCGGGTTGCTAACAAGCCGAAGACACAACCTCCTGGCAGGGTCTCCCCGCTTGCAATGCAGGCAGAACACCAGCTACAGACCAGCTAGCTTCCAGATTGAGGATCACTAGGGGGAAACCATTTCTTGCAAGGCTTCCTGCAGCACAAGGCTTCCTGCAGCACAAGGCGCGTGACGTCGACGCAATGGATCGTAGACAACCTTTGTGGGGGGGCGGCCGAGTTCCGGGATATGGTACCTGTACGCCGCCCTCCGGGGCCTGAGATACTCTCTAGAATAGTTTCAGTATTAGCTCAAGTTTTAGTAAGAACGAAGCTAACACTAGAACCTAAACCCAAATATTCATCCGCTCCGCACCCGTACCCATCCTAACCACCATACTAATAACCTACCCTTCCCAGGTACTAAAACTTGAGCTTACAAAACCTTTTCTAGAGAACGACTCATCGCCCTGGGAGCCTGGGGCGATCACATCCACACATACCGGTAGCTATTAATATACCGGTATAGGTAGAGATCATTTAAAGTGAGTGGATCTGCCTTTATTAGGTACGTACCTACGACGGTACCTACGGTACGGTAGTACCAGTGGGAGGGGTATTACAGTACTTATTACGGTATACGGCCAAGGTACCCATACGGGTACTGGCAACGGTCGCTTGCACTATTAAAAGCCGTAGCTTGCACGAAGATACACAGCTCCCGGGCACCCATCCTAAAACCCTAACCACACAAATTATTCGCTCTGAACCCGCACCCGCACCCATCCTAACCACCAAGCTAACCCTACCGTCCCCCGGGTCCTTATCTTACTATGCAAGCTCAACTTTCCTTCTCACGCGTCACGCTGAAAATCAACGATATTTCGGCCTCGTGCCGCTAAACGACAAGCTCCCTCATCCACAAAGAGCGTCGGATCAGAAACTCCGCTTATCGACTGCCATAAGAGAAGGAAAGTTCATATCTGCACGGTACGATGAGTACTCGGTTTGGACATGCCCGCTACGATGAGTTCACCAATCATTTGCATTGATGATACGCGGACAGATCACCTGGATTTATCGATTTAACAATCAATAAACAAATCATAATCCACTCGGAAATCCAGATTGTTCAGTCGTCGATGCTGCTCGGGGCCTCGGGCAAGCACCATGGACGGATTGGGTCGCCGGATGTAAGTGTACAGATTCTAGGTACCGGGTATCACAAGACTACCCGGTAATTGTCCACCGAGCATTCAACGGGGCCCCTGGGCCTATACAAAAAGCCTCAATTCACTTTCGGCTTTCCTCGGCCCACATACCCGGTGTCGTAAGTCCCGTACTAGGAGGGGACCGCCCGAAGGGCGGTCTCCCTCCTAGCCCAGTCTAGTTAGAGCAAGCCCTCACCCGCAAAAACTTCATGGGCTGGGGTGGCCGGAGGCGACCCCATCCCCTGCCAAAGGCAGGGATGGGTCGCCGAAGGCGGCCCCCTGGTAGTTATATGCATTTCTTGCTTCCTAACTTCCAATGTTGATTGTCAAATCACCATGATGTGACAAAAATGTTTTCAAGAACTTATATACAATCCTGGCCTTCGAGCATGCCGCCTACGGTATATGGGTACTGAACTTCTGAATTGGATCTGACAATGTACGAAGCAAAGATAGAAAGATGTACCTATGTAGGTCGGAGTCTACGGTATAGCAGTACCTCGTTTGCATA